GGAGGCTGAGGCAGAGAATCGCTTGAACCTGGGAGGCAGAGGTTGCAGTGAGTCAAGATCGTGCCACTGCACTCCAGTCTGGGTGACAGAGGAAGACTCTGTTTCAAAAAAAAGAAAAAGTGAGAAATGACATGAGAAAGACCTTTGTCAATGTCTAGGAAATATATTAATATAAATGTATGTGTATATATATATGACATTATGCAGAATTTCTGGTTATAATAATATGGATATTTTATAGGCTTTGATCTTACTTAGCTAATACCTGTAGACTACAAAACACAGACTGTAATTCCTGTCTCTATGTTGGGCAATACTGCCATGCAGCCCAGGGCACTGAATGTGAATACTAACCAAAGCACTGATGCTTCACTGGCTTACCTGGTAAAAGATGGACCATCCCATCAGCAGTTAACAAGACGATAGGCAGCCACCTTTCCAGTCCTTCTAATGCACGACCCAAACAAAATTTGTGCAAGTCAGAGAAAGAGGCAAAGTTTGCCAGTCTTCTCACTTCGTAGAACTGTGGGGGTGCCAACCAAATTTCTTTTGATAAGAAACTTTCAGTTGTCTCCGATGGAGATGACCACTGTGAAAGACAAAAGCAGGGTTTCCTAAGGTTTACGCCATAGATAATGTGAGACTTGAGATAGTCACATCAGTACCTAAGGTAGAATTGAATGTGTAAAATGAATTCATTAATGCACCCTGTGAGATCCCTCCAAGATAACATGAAAAGATTCAGTGAAGAAAGCTGGGTTGATCCTCTTAAGAGGTTGCTTACTGGGACACTGATCCTCAGAACTAGTAAATAAACCAGGGCAGACCGCCGAGGCTTGACCTGGGAGAGCTGTTCAGCCTAAGAGGTGGGAGATGCAGAGAGGGTAAGGTGGTTCTGGTCCCTGCTGAAAGAAGAAAGACTCCAAAGGGTAAACTCATCACAGTAGATTGAGAATTTGGTGCCTGTTCATTCCTTCAGGAAATGGGTACTTGGCTAGATCCTGAGGATATAATGATGAACACCACAAAGCTCTCCTAGGCCCTACGGGGACTTCAGCAACCAAAATGCTTTGTGATGTGGTGATGTGTGCCACATGGTACAACAGCAGTGAAGCATCAGGAGCAACAGCAGCTTTCAGGAAGTCACCCGGCATGACTCAGCTTACAGTCAAGAGAGTAATAACTTGGTAGGGTTTCAGCCAGGCAGTGTTTGCCCGGTAAACTTCAGTGGCTTCATTCTACAACCTGCTGTCCTTCCTGAGCCTTCTTTCCATAGACATTGAGATAAAAGGAGCTGATTCAACGGATACAGAATAACCTCAAAGGTTTTTTTTTTTTTTTTTGAGACGGAGTCTCACTCTGTCACCCAGGCTACAGTGCAGTGGTGTGATGATCTCGGCTCACTGCAAGCTCCAC